CCCCGGCCAAGGACGAACCCATACCACTCCTAGAGGACTTCTTTAATCAATACGCTGAAGGCCGCTCCCTGGGTCTATCCGAAGAGGACGTCCGGGATAGCTTGGCGGTGGAGCGCGGCATCCCCCTTGAAGGAGGTGACGGCAGAGCTCGTGAGGCAGGCCACCAAGGAACAGGACAGGGGCCAAAAGGGGCTCACAAAGTTCGTGAAGGCGTGGCAACGGGGGGGCACGACACCATCGACTCCGTCGAGTGCGCCACGTTCCCCCGCCTTCACGTAAGAGTTTGGAGGCGGCACCTTCACCTTTGAGGATTGGAGTCCCAGGCATATATGGTTTGGATGAGCGGAAGGCTGGAGCTGCAGTGCAGGGCGACGCGTTCGATGAGATTGCCAAAGCGATTAAGTCCCAGACGGCAGAGATTGCGTTGCTTGTCAAGACGGCCGTGGCCCCGGGCGCCGTGAAGGGTATCAATCGCCAATCCGAGGAGTTGGTCTTCCTTCTGAGGGCATGCAATCAATACCAGGTCGTCATTGGCGCGGGCGAGCAAGGACAAGCGCTCGCCAACGCTTTGATTGCAGCACAGGCCGGGGCCTCAACCAAGCTTCGGAAGGCGGGCTTCAAGCAGAAGGTCACCGCCAGGCTGGCTGTGGGGCTTGCTGGGCCGTACTGGGGCACGCAGGACAAGCATGCGCTGACGGTCGCCGACTTCGTCCCGCACACAGATGCTGAACTGGATGCCTTTGTGCAGGAGGTCAGGGCCAACAAGAACGTCGCGGAGCAGAAGACAGCGCCTCCGACAAAGTTTGAGGACTGGGAGGCAGGAGCGCGTCGGCAGAACGAAGTGTGGGCGTTGGTACGGGGCTGAGTGGAAGCCTGTCCGTGATCATGCCCTGGAGAAGCTCACGATGTGGCACCAGGCGGAGCCACATAAATGGCCGATGACCGTGGTGGCGGAGATTTGGGAGGAGCTGCGCTGGAGGTTCTTCGAAGAGTTGAAGGAAATACTTCGGCTTCTGAAGACGGCGGCCGGCAGAGAAACTATGTCGCTTCCCGACCTCAAGTTCCACGCTTTACCCAACGAGAGTGGCACGGCTTGGCTCGAACTTCCTCGCACCTTCGACATCCTCAACCCGGGCGGCTGGTTCTCGACCGAAGTACTTCCCCGAATCGAGAGGAGGCAGGAGCGGATGCTGTGGCGCCTTACACGGGAAGGTGGACGTGGCGGAAAGCCGAGCGGACCAGTCCATGCTGGCGGTGCGCACGGAGAACCTCAGACCGACCCCTCGAAGAAGCCGAGTCTCAAAAACTTGTGGGGGCCCAAGTTGTCAACCCAGGAGATTGCCAAGGCCAAGGAGCGAGCCCCTACCGATAGAGGTGGGACATTGCTAGGGGGGCCCTCACGCACATGGGATGCTCCAATGCCACCTGCCAACGTTCCCACGCAGGCCTTCAAGGACAGTTCGAAGCCCTGGACCCATGCGTACAGATGCAGCTACTCCGTCGAGGTGGTCTTCGCAGGCTCAAAGCAGAGCAAGAAGCTGAGGGCGGAGATGTCTGCCGATAAGGCAGCCAAAGTCGCGGACGGCAGAAAGTCTGGCGAGGGCACCGCGGAGAAGGAAGGAGGATATCCACGTGTCTGAAGAGTTGGCGGGCATGCTGCAGCTCCCGGATGAGGGGCAGGAAAGAAGGCAGTGCGTCACCAAAGCAGTCGCCGCGGGGATGTTGGGCCGCACAGTGAGGAGGCAGCCCGCCATGGAGGAGGTCAACGCCAAGGGTTTGGAGCTGCGCATGGAGATGACACGGCAGGCCCTGGAAGCTCAGGCGGTCATGGGTGAACCAGCACTACGTGTGGGGCCTCATTGAGAGTGAGATCAGGATCTACACCCACGACATCGTTAAAGCCAACCACGACAAGGACTTCCGCTCCCTGGCAGTCTTCCCTTTGTCGGAGCTCAAAGACTGCAAGCTTGTGGTGGTTCGGGCAGACTACAAGGGCGATGTGGTGGTGGAGACGGTGACGGGGACCATGTGGCAGCCGGGGGGGTGGATTGTATGGACTCTGATCTGGCGAGGTCACATGTTGCTCCTACAACCCCCGGAGAGCTTGGACGCCGAAGTCTTCTTGGACCGTTGGCAGCCGCGTGACACAGCGCTTGGTTTCCTCTTCTTTTGGCATTCTCGTCATGATCAGGAACGCACCGCCCCAGGCCCAGTTGCATGTCGTTTGTGTCGAGGGCAGAAAGCTGGCGAGGCCGAGTTCGCCCTGTGTCGAAGGAACAGCAACCTGGCCGCAGCAGCCATAGTGGGATGTATCCGGGCGGGCGCGGAGCCAAGCGGCCCATCCTTCAAAGTTCGCGGCCGCGTCTTGTGTTTCCAGGAGGTCTTTGCAGGATCTGCGGTGCTGTCGAAAGCCTTCGAGGCGGCGGGTGTCAAGGTTATAGAGCCCATCGAGGTGTTCGAAGATCCCCATCGCCGGCAAGGCTATCGAGAAGCTTTCGACTTGACCCTCCCCCAGGTGCAGAAGGACTTGATCTATGCCGCAGGGCGAGGCCCCGCAAACATCTGGTGGATTGCGAGTCCGTGTACAAGCTTCTGCGATTGGGGCCTCCAGAACGGGGGGACGAGGACTTTCGAGTGCCCTGCCAGGGGCGCAGGTGGCGCGGATCTCAAACCAACGGAGCTGGAGGGTAACCTGCTCAGCAAAGTCGGGGCGGAGGTCTTCCTCAAGGCGTTGGAGTCAGGTGCCTTCCCCATCGCTGAGTCCACGGCAAGCTCAGGGTGGTGGAAGGAGATTCTGGCCAGGCCGGATGTCGCCTTTGTGGAGTTCCCTATGTGCGCCTTTGGTCTGGGCCCGATGGATGAGGACGGCTTCTATCATCACCGCACCAGACTGGTCTTCCCGAGGAATGAGGCTGTGGTGGCTGCATTCTCCAGCGCGGCTCACCGGCATGTTGTCTTGAAAGGAGCACGACCCGGCCAGAAGGTCACTCGTTGTACTGAGGCCGGGGTCTATGCCAAGGACTTCGTGCGCACCGTGGTGGAGGTTCTGCAACGAGTTGTTCAAGTTGGGGGGGAGGGCGATGAAGCCAACCCGCCACACAGACACAGATGGTGCCGAGGACGCCCGGGCAGGTGGAGTGGACCTTCGGCGAGGCCAGTCAGTTGAGTCGGATGGGGGAGATCGTGACGCCCAGGCAGGCGATCAACGTGGCGGACTTGACGCAAAGCACGCTGGGTGGCTCCATGAGTTGGACGAGGGCGACAGTGACACTCACGCAGAAGGTCGACGAAGTGGACTTCACTCCATGAGTTGGACGAGGGCGACGGTGACACTCATGCAGGAGGTCGACGAGGTGGACTTCGCGCAAAGCAGGCTGGGTGGCTTGATGGACTCGACGATGAGGAGGGCGATTTTCTTGCCAACACACCGGTGCAGGGCGTGGTGTATGGCCATTTCGAAGACACGAGGGCGGGCAGCGTGATCGACATAGCACACAGGGCGCCATCTGAAGAGGCCAAAGGCGCAGCGCAGGACTACATTCGGGAGGCGGGAGCGGGAAAGACCGGTTCGGGCTTGGAAGTCAATGTGTGAATGTGGAGGGCGTCTGGTGGAGGTTGCGGGTTCGGTCACAAAGGCAGCGGAGAGCTTGTGGCAGGTTAGAGAGGAAGAGGGGCTGAACAATTTGAAGAAGGTTGACGACGAGTCCCTCGACACGGTCCTGCGCCCAGACTTGCTTGCGTACCTTCGCGATGTGAGACGCCATGGCCTGGCAGCAAGAAGCGCTGGTGAGCGCAAACGTTGCCGTGCAAAGGTCCACCCGAATGGCAGACGCAACCTGAACCAGGTCTACAAGCAGATTTGGAAGGACGTCAGCAAGCTTCGTGTGCTTGTGGTCCCGGCCAACCTGGGAAATCTGGGTGATGTTGTCTCCAGCCCCTTCGACGCCGTGGATAAGATGCTTCCCGACAGGTCCGTGGCGCCAGACAAACGGATTGTGCACGACCAGAGGGCCATCAACAGCGGCGCTGACAAGGAGTGGCACCCGCCAGCGGTCCAGCCCAAGCACGAGCAGATCGCACGTCTGGTCCTCAGGGCCAAGAGCCAGCTTCCTGGTGTGGAGGTGCTCCTCAGCAAAAAGGACATTGCAGGTGCCTTTCGTCTACTTTGGTTGGATCCGAGGGATGCTGAGTTGTTTGCCGGGGACCTGCCATGGACGCCGGAGGAGATGGAGGAGGGCGATGCCGTCGACGGGACCGAGATGACGGTGATCTACTTGGTCAGCTCCTTTAATTTCTCCCTGCGCGCCCATCGCCCTGAATGCCCTAGGAGGGACCTCACCTGGAACTTCGACAGCCGCATCCTCGTGGACGACAATGTCTTGGTCGAGCCTTGGGTCGGTTTGAGACCGTGGGTGGCATCTGAGGTGTACGAGGTTGTTGGGGGAGGCTGCCGTCAACCGTGAAAAAGAGTTGATGGAGGGTCCGTTCAGGACCTTCCAGACTGTGTGGGGTCTTGATGTTGAGACGGAGACCGAAGAAGTTCACTTGCCAGAGAGGCGGGTGCGCAAGGGGGCGCTGCTGCTTGCCGAG